TATTAAACCATGCATTTTTTTAATATAAATAATCAATGCAAACAAACTTCCGATCGAATTACTCATTTATAAAGGGACACAGGGTTTTTTGGTGACATGTACATGATCAAATAAATCCAATTAAAAATCACAATTAGAAATTGTGGTCTTTACAATACCAAAACAAAACAATAAAAATATATAATTAATGTGTTTCTGTTGTATTGAATATTTTTGGGATTATTGATGACAATTTTTCTTTGCAAAATTAGAGAGGTGCTTTAGACCTTGTAAGTAGTTGTGCGTTTTGTATGTATACGTAAATTCGTCACATGCAAAACGCATGTATAGTTCCCATCTACTATTATGTTTCCTATTTTAATTTAATCGCTTTTGACGGCAAAATTACTGTCGCTTTGAAGGTCAGTACCGACAGGTGTCTAGTGCTTTCATCTGATTTGACATCCAGATGTAAATATGTTTCAGAGGCCAAAACAGCTGAAACCACCGTCGATACTGATCCCAAAGCGACAGTAACTTTGCCGTCAAAAATGGGAAAATGATACTTGGGATATCAAGCTATTCGGTATTTATTGGGCAAAGAAAAAGGAATATCGAATTTGACCGTGTGTGATTGAAGAACTCAATGATTAATCAAAATAGGTCCCGAACGGCGGTTTACCTTATTTTCAAAAATTGAAATAAGCAGGTGACACAGTGTTGGTTCAATTGACGCACGAATGACATTATTAAAAGATACTAATACATCACATTGGCTAGTTAGTTTTTTAATTGTTTTGAGTAAATTTGGTCTTAAATCAATAGATTTTTTAAAAAAAAATAGTCTTAAAGATAAAATATAATTCCTTACAGGGCAAATGTAAATAAATATTACAAGCGGCATACAAACACCGTTTGGGCATACATGCTGAGGGCTATTTGCTATTTTAACAATAATTTTGATTGGTTTGTTTCAGCAGAAACGAATGCACGAAACTTAAAACCATAAATATCAACCGAACTTTGGGTTAGTGAGATTGTCATATCACATTCATCGACTAATTGAATTTGGTTTATATAACGAGACCATATTGCATTTATGAAAAGCCATCGCTTAAATGCGAAAATTCATAAACCACATTTATGTTTCGACATTAAAAGATAATCCCAAGTGCAAAATATCCAACGGATCTTCATTTATCTTAATTCAGTTTCAATTTGCAATCATTTCTTACGATGAACAATTAATAAACAACTAATAATAATTCTTTTAATTCGACAAACCAGTGTTCTTTCAAGATTTGTGTCGGCAAATCAGATCATTTTGTTCAGAAACGCCCAGGAACTGTAATCACTTGAATAGTTTGTTCAGCAAGAGCATTTCCACCCGGAAGGTGATATGACCGTGTGCATCGACATGCACGAAAACATATTTCATTAATGGATGAAGTTTTGGTGTACCAAATATCCCGTGCACCTCGTGAATTTACTAATTTTGCAAATATCTGCTTTGGTATGTCTCTCTCATGCAATCGAAGGAAGTTCTCATACCGAAAATTAGTTTGAACTTGATTTCCAAAGACGAAATATTATACTCGTATATGTATCTGGGATGGTTTTGTGTCCAGAAAAGCGATGCACTGCGCCTCTGTGCATTTTGACATGTTTCCGCAAGTAATTTGATTTATTTTCACGTGAAAATGGTGAATGTGAACAAGCACTTCAAGCACTCGGACCGAAAAGTCATGGAAGGGGACAGAGTTGTGTAAAGAGATGGAGATGGAGAGAAAGACGGCGAGAGTTTACTTTCTAACTAAAATGTTGAATGGCGACGAAGACAAACTATATATTTCGTATTTACATAATAATTGAAAACCTTCTCATCACTGTTAACCATCTAGCTTACATTTAAATGCGCACAAAACAGTGTTCGTTATCATTTATGTTCCGGCTGAAGAATCTTTGAAGCACAGTGCTGCACTGTAAATAGAATACCTTTTGAATAATACAATCTAAATGTTCAGAATGGCACATGTCAGCCTTTAAACAATCTTCGTAAACAACCATTTCAAAGACTTTCATTACCTAACTTTCAAAGTTTCGACGCAAACTTTTGGCGTACAAACTACGTTTCACATCACAGTACGAAACTACTACGTTTGACAAAGTCATTCTTCATTGTTTGTTAGATACATCTATTTTCATATTATAATAATTATTATCACTTGTGTATTTTGTTTATACTACCTTTTTGAAATTGCCAGACAATAAAATTTACATTATGATTGCCACAAGTGCAACGTGCATACATGTAAACACAAACTGAATGATGTTATAAGAATCGGTCGCCACATTACGAATAGTGAAAATTCAAAGTGGACGTATCCAAATTTGTACACGAGTATTTTTAGTTATTAAATGCAAAAATTACTACGAATCAATATTTACTTTTCATGAAAAATTGGGTGTTTGTTCGAGAGCTGGCAACAAAAAACCCTATCAAAATTGAATAATTTTATTCCTTGTGAAAAACCCTAGGAAAATCGAATATTTCCTCTTTATTATAGAGGGGGTCCTCGGGCGCTAGGGGGGGTCAATCCGACCTATGCGAACTATGTCAGAACCTATGATATCATTGAATAAATGGAATTTTCGCCACAGAGTCATTATCACTCACACCTAAAAGCTCTTATCATATAAAATTTTCATAAAGATTATTTGAAGTATGAAAAATGGCAACTTTTCATTTTTTACATTTAAAAAATGTCCACCGGTATAAAAACATAACGTAATCAATCGATGTCAAAGCGAACACAAAGATGTGCTCAGCATCGTACTATACAGATACCACAATAAATTGGTTTCTAGGTATATGTGTGCATCTTACCACTTGTTGCTATAATAGTCTCCTCTGTGTGTTCGATTGTACGCTCATGACAATTATGTGCTCATGATGGCATGAGAGAGAAGAAAGAGTTTATACAGTGCGGTGATTTGAATGTGATCGATGCCCTAATAAATCATTGAATTTGTGTACACGTGTGAGCGTGTGCAAACAAATCATAGATTTGGTGTCGTCTCAAACATCGACACACAAATAAATCCAATCCGACCGTTTAGCATTGATTCGGTTATGTTGTCGCATTGAAATTCGAAACAGATAATACTATCGAGATGGAAGAAAGAGAAAGAAAATATGATTAATTGTATCGATTCTAAGACAAACGTTGGCAAACGAAGTTGGCATCGATACAATTGATCACATTTCTTTTACACTACAACATTATTCTCGCTTATTGTAGCAAATCAACACGACTTTAGTCCAACGTTATTCAGCATTCGATGAATGCCCTACAAACCAAAAAGCAAATACAAAATGACTATATAGATTTAAAAAGTAAACCATATAAAGTTAATAGTGTTATTACTCGGTACACGCAATACGAAATCTTTCATGAAATTTGACGGTATAATACCGGTTAAAATTCAAAAATTTCATAATATGAAAATTCGTAGTTTCTTAATTTTGAACCTTTCTCAAAATATAAAAGCAATCAAAACTATATAAATGTTCGATTGAAAATCATTGTAAACACCTCTAATCGATGTTATTGGACGAGAGCTTAAACTTATATGGATTAGTTTACAAACATTTATGAAAATTCCAAAAGGTCTCAATGAATTCAACGTAAATTTTCCCAATCTCACTTCGTATTCTTTTTCGTATTTTCGTAGCTTACGCACGGTGTAAGAACCCCGGGCGAACGGTGGAATTGAGTGCTTGGGTAGATGCTGCTAAATATTTCTTAAATGATTTTATTGTACCAAAATATTTGTATTTACTCAAAAAAAGAACAAAATTAAAAGTGATACGGAAGTGAATGGAAATATATAACCGAGTAGTATTGCTTTACAACCGTAATCACTCTAAATTGTCGTCTCTATTCATAATAATCATTCCAACGATGATTGGCACATAAAAATAAAGTGTGCACAAAAGGTCGATCGATTTGATCTTTTAATATAGTTCACGCTATCTCAGTTGATTGAAAATGATTTAAAACTGTACATGAATCGAGTATACGTGCCATTGGCTAATTTATTTCGTAATCATGTTCAGTATTTATCGGTGTTATGATTTCCTTTGCCTCTTCAAAACTAATCTATTTTCAACCAATATTCATTTTCCTAATGTTGCCCATCAAATACCAAATGGTCAATTTTAATAAAAATTTCTAATGAGTTGTTAAAATGTTGATCAACAACAACGTGATTGTGAAAATATTGTCACCACAACAATTTTAAGCGAAAAAAAAATCGAAGAAAATAGCTCGAGTTGCAAATAGTATGATTTATCACCTGTTCAGAATATTTAATTATTCATAATTGTGTCTGCTGTAAGTCAGCTGATTAAAAAATGCACTAGAAATTAGTTGTTCGTGTAACATCCGTGTAGTTTGCTCCGATTACGTCGTTTTATCGTCGCCTTACTTCAAAGATAGTTCATTAGACAGATAGCAGACAATAATTATGATTGTTGTGCACAAATAAACGGTATGTGTTTTTTTTACGTTTCTCCACTCATCAGTTGAATGTGTGCCTATCGTATGTGCGCTCGCGCCACACAAGAAATAGTAAAAATAATTATTTCAGAGCTATTTCAAATTCATTGTTTGACTTTGACTTTCGTTTAATTGTTGCTATTTGGTACCAAATTGTTCAACGTTTATTATTCGCTTAAATTAGCTTATCAAAGATAAGAAAAAGAGCACGGATCTTTTCATACTCAAACCGAATTCATGGCGGATTCATTGTTGATTGATCAGCGAGGTTGTGAGCGCGCGATTCTTTGTTGTTTGTAATTAAGTGTTGCCTTTTTTCTGGCTCGGGGAACCCATGTTATCCGATTCAATCAATAATCAATTGTTTCGCAATCTATACAAATTGAACCCGATATCAAGTCTATTTGCGGTTGAAACAACACAATCATTTTTACGATCGGCGTGTTAACATTTCGGCAATTAAATGAAAGACGAAGAAAGAACACCAGTAATTGTATATAAATTCCAGTGGTTATAGTTTTAGATATCGTTCAACAAATATTTTTCGATTCCATTTCAATGAATCACTTCACCTAGTTTGATCAGATCTACAAAAATAATCAGTTAATCGTATCATTACGTGACAAATTTGATCTGTGCCAATATGTATTAAACTGAAGTAAGCCGATTTATTATCACTGAAAGAAAGTCTATTATTATTGAAGAGTTTTCGTCCCAAAAGTACAAAATCTATTGTTGCACAAAGAAAATCTGTAACCTAATTTTTATCTTGAAACTTATTTAACTGAAGAACGATATCTTTTGAAACGGCTCCAAATGATTAAATGTTAATCAGAACAAGGACGATTGGCAAACGTAAAAATATCATCAGTATCAATTGTGAAGTGAATTTGTGAAAGTGCAGTAAAAATATGAAATCGAATTGGATTGTATTGATAATTGTTGTGTTGTGTGCATCATCGACACTAGCAACACTGGCCACCAGTCAAGGTTAAACATTTTTATTTAAGTAATTTCAAAAAGTTTTCCAATAAAAGAGGGCACAAAACAACAAGAAAAGTGAAATATCCATCGAATGTTATAAACTTCGTCCAAAACGTGCAAATTGCTGTTAAGCTCGTTTCGTGCCACAACATAATATAACATCATTCAAATTTAACGCTCATGAAAATCCAATAAACACACAGGTGCACATACATACATAATTCGTGATAACCAACCAAATGGTTCTTCATACACACACAACAAACATAAAATAAAAATATAGCCCAGACTCAATTTCGGAAAATTTTCAATTCATTATTGCCATCGATGTTTCGGCACATTTCTTTCATCAGTTCCGTTTGCGTGTGCTCTGTATCTCTTCTATTTGTTTTTATATATTATTTTATGCCATTCTTCTCACATAGTTGGGCCATAAACTGCCTGTTTTGATTCATTCGTATTATTTGATCTATGCGAACGTGCCGTTTGAAACGTTTTATGGTTCAACGTCGCGCGCTTTTAAATAGTGAAACATAAAAAAAATAATCTTAATTGCATTGAACGTTTTCAATTTAAAATTGATGCGCGATTTCAAACATTTATTATTATGAATTCGAAAAAGCAAAAAACGCGAAAACATACTCGCACTGAGTAAAGTGGAATAGTATGCAATGCATTGCAAATTGCAATTTATCGTTTTCTATGCTTTGCGCGGCATATTTGTGGCGCCGAGACAATATTGAATATTTATGATGAATTGGAACGAAATAACAATTTTCCTAGACATTTTGTCTATCATATTGTTTGTACAGCTTACTAAAGCACAGAGAGGGAGTGGTCACCTTTTTTCAGCGTCGCTATTGTACATAATTTTCAAAATGCAGTTTACAAATAAATCGATTGGTTCCTGGAAGTGGCCAAAATTCAAATGAAATAAACAAAAATGCATTTTGACGCAAATTAGCTGTTTGAAGCAAATAATTTTTGGCGCCTGACGAATCTTATTACATTTTTTATAAATTTACAGTTACGTAAACTTTTGTTCGAACAAAAACTCTCACATTTATAGCATATACTTTTCACATCAAATAGTTACTTATTACAAACCAAGTTCTTACATGAACACTATTGAACAGCTCTAAGTGAATGTAACTTTTGTCCAAGAGAAATAGCCAAGATTTCTGACTAATAGAAAAATTCTCAATAATATATTTGGTCGACAAGCTATATAAATCAACAAATATAGTGACAGAATGCACTCATGATAAGATAGTTTGCGGCATATATGATAGTCGCTGAAGTCGCCCCATGTTAACCGTATCAATAAATTATTCAATGCATTGCAATGAAGTGTGTACTTTTTCATTGAAAAATGACAATGGATTGAAGTGGTTTTACTTTTCTTCATAACAATCGATTGATTTCATTAAATACATGTGGGGCAATGCAACGTTTTTCATTTAGTTCATAACAAGACATTTAAATGTCGGATTCAATAAAAATAGAACGTATACTACCATAGCCCGGATGTAGAAATTGAAAGTCATTTTCGTTTTTCAAGACACAATAACTGTGCCAAAAATAAATAATTGTTTGAATCGGAATTCAAAATCCGTAGAATAGGTTCAATAATTAAATAGACAAATAGAAATAATCTCTTTCGTTATCGTCACTTTTGATTCGAAATCAATTTGTTTTGACGGACAAGTGCTCAAAATTTAAGTCTATGTTTCGTAGGTCAAGAGAGTACTCGAATTCAAGTACTTTCGTATTCAGCCAAGGAATCAACAAATGTGTGTGATAATGATACTTCATCATCGTCGTCAATGGATGAGTTCCCGGAAGATTTTTTCACAGGTATAAAAACACAATTTTTTTATTGATAACACTTGGTAGATTACCTGTGAAAAATCCCCTCTAATAGATGAGCAACGTTTGCGTGGTGCAATCGTCTTACACATAGCAGCGGCCGTGTACTTTTTTACATTGTTGGCGGTTGTGTGCAATGATTACTTTTTGCCATCGGTCGAATGCATTTGTGAGGATCTCAGTATACCAAAGGTTTGAAAAAAATTCATTTTTTCACATTTCACTGGGAATCACCGCTGAAATTTGGACAATAATTTCACACATTAATTAAAATCGATATCTCTTTCCTCATCCATGATTCCAAAAAAAAATTTCGTACATTTTTACAACTTTGCATTTTTTGTACTCTTAAGTGTCGAACGATACGATAAAAGATTAACGATGATAAAGCAGACATTTCGAATAAAAAAAAACATCATTAAAAAGTTGATTTCTAATTTAAAATCCTAATCCAGGCACCTTTATTACAAATGAAATAACAATAAATTCAAAATTCAATAGTTTAAAAACCCCTTCAGAGAAAATGAGTATCATATGATTTTCATTCATGTAAAATGTACCACCTCATCTCAATTTTGTATATGAGACAATGTGTTTCTTTTTGTATTTGAACAGGATTTGGCAGGTATGTGATTTTTCAATGAAGACAAAAGTTCAGTCGAACTATACTTGTCTTTTCCAAATAATTTCCAACGAGCAGCAGCAACATTCATGGCAGTTGCAACAACAACGCCCGAGTTCTTTACGAATGTAATCAGTACATTCATTACCGAATCGGACATTGGTCTCGGTACAATAATTGGCTCATTGATGTTCAATACATTGGGAGTTGCAGCCGTTGCTTCGCTTGCAGCATCGAAACCCGTTCAGTTAGATTGGTGGCCAATTACACGTGACACAATACTGTACAGTTTCAACATTGTGATATTGTTCGTATTTGCATGGGATAATCAAATCACATTAAGTGAGACCATTACAATGGTACAGAAGTATACACTGAAATTATATGAAACAAAACAAATAGTATGCAACGTGTTTTTTTTATATTCATTTGCTAGGTTATCTTGTTTTTCGTCTATTTTGTGATACTATTTCAAAATAAGCGTATAATGCCATGGGTGAAATGGTTTCTCGAGCACTATTTAAATTGTTGCCAAGTTAGCAGCTACGGTGAGTGAACGTGAGTGTATGTGTGATGGATCGAAAGTGTGTGTATGAGACTGCATTTACAAAATAGACAATTTCAATATACATTCTAATTTCCGATTTGTATCCTGATTCATTTTTTATGCTGATCCATAGATTTGCCGTCGTCGTTCATGGAGAAGAATTTCCGAAATGTGATTGTGGTAACTCAGCAACCGTGCGAAACGAAAACCGATGCTCAGACCGACAAATCGCCAGTGACAGCAATTCGAAAAAAGGCCGAAAAATTGGAACGAACTTTATCAAAGTCATCGATCGACAACAATCCGATTTTTATGATTTATACGAAATGCGAAACGGTTGAGAATGTGAATAAAGTTCGTAAAAGTCTATGGCGAGTACCGCTTGCAAATCGCTTAAAAACATTATGGTGGATTTATACTTGGCCAATAAAATTCATTCTCACCATTTCCATACCGAATCCAAAAACATATCGACGCCTATATCCAGTTACGTTTGTGATGTGCATCTTGTGGATCGGTCTGAATGCGTACATGATTGTTTGGATGCTTACTGTTATCGGTACGGCCGTATTGGCCTTTACCTAATGGAATTGACCTTGAAATCTGACGTTAATCGTTTGTTTATCTTTTATCGCATTTTTTCAGGTTTTACATTTAAAATTCCAGATGCCGTGATGGGTTTGACATTTTTGGCAGCCGGTGGTTGTTTACCCGAAGGTATATCGAGTGTATTAATGATTCGAAAAAATGAAGGCGGTGTGGGGGTATCGAATTCACTGGGCGCCAATTCATTGGCCATTTTAATGTCACTTGGCATACCATGGCTTATCAAAAATGTTCTACATCGAAACAGTCCCGATAAACAATCGATTCTACTCAATCCAAACAGCACCGAATACAACATTCTATTGCTTTTACTTGCCGTTATTTCATTGTATGTTGTACTTACACTGTCTAAATATCGTCTGAAACGATCTGTTGGTATCTCACTCATTAGTGTTTACATGGTTTGCATTACATTTGGCATTCTACTGGAAATGAATGTATTTAGTTCAACAGCAAGTTGTTCATAACCTCTTAGATATAATAGATATACAATTTTTTATAGCTTTTTTTTGAAATAATAAAATATGTACGTTTTATTAAGGAAAATGTTTTCCAAAAACTTGTTTAAGTTTTCCGAAACGATCCATCAATTCTTCAATTGTTTTGCTTTAATTCCTTCCATTTTGCGGCTGACATGCATCAAATTTGATTGGGTCTCTCTTTTCTCATGTAATTTATTCGTATTCTTCTTCACATGACCTGCATATGGAGCAATGTTGCATTTAAACTGAAAAATTAAATCAAAGACAAGTTGTTCGGTCGATGAATAATCAATGGAAAATGTTCGTGTTTGCGATGTACTCAGAAACTTCAGTGCATAAAGAAAATGCCATAAAATCTAATAAACAATATTGATGCAATCTGAATTTGTGCTTTCGGGCGATTTTTATGCAGTATTTTCCAAGAAATACCTGCTATGTTCATCTTCTTCATCTTCATTTTTGGCAATGTCTGCCAATGTATTAAACCGATAGCATTGTCGATAAAAAAAGTGCTCTCTATCTGTATTTTATAGCACCTAATTTGATTCGATCCGTTCATTGTCTTCACCGAAATCGATTACTTCTTTTATTTATCGATTCTGAAAACGTGAACGAATGTGATAATTTCTCGTTGTGTATGGTTGAACCGAAGAGCAGACAAAAGACACTTTCGTGTAATTTAATATTGGAATAGAATAGACAGTCGTTTGTCGATGCAAAAGGGGCGCACTCAATGTAAATCATACTATGCATGACTGAGTGAAAGCAGTAAAGAGATACTCCATCAGTTATTTTTATATTCGATGGTACAACGATAAACTCAGTGCCAGTTGTTCGTATTTAAAAAGCAGAATGTGCGCGCACACACAGAGGTGTATATGGTGAATCCGATCGGAAAAAATGGTGTAGAGAAATTATTTTTGGACCTGCGTGGAAAAAACTGAATGTAAAATTAGCATATCCATTGAGTTGGAAATATAAAATGCAAACAACGATAAACACCTTTCGCCAATGAATAATTTACTTTTAAAAAAAATATACAACGGATAAAAAAAATAAAGAGTCTTACGGGAGTAAGACGAACTTTTCCGCACGTTGGTAGTTGCGTATTTTATTAAGAAAGTTCAAAATAATATTTGCTCGATTCTTCAAGTCTTTCAAGCGGCGTAAAGTTCGAGACCAAAAAATATTTTTCAACTTTGGCAACTAAATATTCTTTAATTTTATAGCAGAAGTACCAGAGAAAAGATTTTTCACACTTTCATGATGAACCCATTTGTACGACATTTGAAAGTATTCTATTTTCTAACAAAATACTATAAAAATATGTCTGACGTTAATTTTGCCATAAAGATTATTTTTGAAACACTTTTCATAACTAAAGTCACAAAAAATTTGGATTTTTGTATGGGAGCCATGTCTGTATGCTACCTTAATGGCGTAAAACTTCGTACAGGTTATTTTTTTCACAAATAACATTCGGAGGGTTTGGAGAAATTTCAACCAAAATTAAGGGTACCTCCCATACAAAATATTCGTTTTTGAGCCAAAAATTTAAAATTTTGTATGGAAGGTACCCCTAACTTTGATCGAAATCTCTTCAAACTTTCAGAATGTTATACTTTTGTGTAAAAAATAGTCTGTGTAAAGTTTCACGTCATTAAGGTAGCATACAGGCATGGCTCCCATACAAAAATCCAAATTTTTTGTGATTTTTTCAAGGAAACTGTATTAAAAATTGATTGTATCTCAAAACTAACGTCGGATTCGGTTTTCTCGTGCCAAAAAACCCCCCAATACATATTTTTGAGTGTTTAAGTCTACATTAAGTATGACTTTTGGACGAAAATTGGACTCTTTTTCATAGGTATCACTCCAGGCATGGAATTTTTTTCCATTAACCAAAGTCGCTCAAAATCTGATGATTTCTATTCCTGGGGACCCCCAATCATCCCGCGAAGTCAGATTTCGAATAACTTTTCTGGGTGGTGAGAAAATCGATGGACAAATTTTGCGTACGGCGGACAACGTACGACGTACGACGTACGACGTACGACGTACGACGTACGACGTACGACGTACGACGTACGACGTGGAAGCGACCCACAACAACCATGCTCAAAACGGCCTGATTCGGGTTCTCTGACCTCAGAAACGTCCAGAAAACATGTTTTTGAGGTTTCGTAAATTTTGACCTATTGCAATACTTTCCCCTTTCACACTAGGTGTGTGCGGAAAAGTAATACTTTAGTATTGAAAACACTTTATGGCACAACGAGAATCGATTG